CAGGACGAGCAGGATAGAGAGACAGAGACAGAGACAGGGACAGCGAAGGGGACACGTTGGAACTTGTGTTGAAAAATCCCAGGAGAAATTAGTTTGATTTATGTTGAGTTTCCGGTGCAAATAAATTGCCAAGTTTAGAGAGAACTTTGGACGCACTGCAGACGCATAATTGATTATGCGAGCGGCGTACACTGAATCACTGTGGGCGGGGCGCCAGTAGGCATAGGCAGGACGAGGGACGAAGGACGACAGCCGACGATGAGTGTACATTGTTAATGGTGCGAGGACCTATTACTAGACAAGCTACTCGTCAAACTCACACCCGATTGTTGTTTAGAAGTTTCTTTTCGAAAAGGTACTTTTTAAAGAAATCTTCGAAAAGAGCAATAAGTAGTGTTGAAATATCAAATCAGCAGTGCCTCATACATTGTATATACATAGATCTAATTAGGGAATTTATAGGATACATAAAGTTGTCAAAGTCACAAAAGCGATATGTTATGTACTGTCATTCTCTTCTTACTTTTAATATTCCAAACAATTTGTTAGTTATGACTTCCTTTAACTTTAATGTACAAGTCTGTTTTACGCTGAATATATGTACTTGGCAATATGTCGTTAAACTTAAAGAGCTTTCGTAGTTTAAATGCTTTAAAAACATAGTTTTAAAATCTCGACACTAACAAAACGCCTGCCTGCCATATCAAAAAACCCTAGTAACTTTTATTGCAAATTTCATTTTTCATTCTCAATTTGTTTTCAACCTACATATAAACTTGAAAATTTGTTATTCATTGAAACATCTGTTTAATCTGTTTTCTCTACCCTTAGCCCGCTTTCTCTTACTCTCTACCATTCAGTTTTATCGCTACCTGTTTGTTTAATAAACTTTTGTGCGATGCATTCGAAGCGCAACTAAAGTACTTAAACATTTTTTTATCGCCGGACTTTGTCAGTTCAAATTGTTACCCCAAAGAGGGAGAAAGAAGTCATGGAAAGAGAGAGCCAGAAACAGAGATGGGGACAATGGGGCGAAAGTTTGTCGCAAGCAAAGTTTTTGTTCGCAAATTGCAGTTTACTTGCTGCTTACTGCAACATCATAACTGCGGGCCAAATGAGGGGATCCCCCGGAACGGCATCATGTGGGCGTGGCCAAAATGCAAAACTCTCCGCTCGGTTTCAGGGTTTATTGCACTTGACTTGGGTCGGTCGGCCCGTTGAGATGATTCTAACAACCACGGATTGAGAAATGCAAATGTGCACATAGGATTATTTTTCGGTTATAACTTTAATATTGTTTTATTGTACAATTTAAAAAGTTTCTTGTTTAAAAAATTAAATATTTTATAGGGTCCTTTTATACCCGGTAAGCCGGGATATTTTGAGTTATAAATGAGTAAGCAATAATCATGAAGTAAGTAAAAAATGGACAATAACTAAGTAGATTTTTTATATAAAGGTATTATATATATATATACATTAGATTATATATATATTTCCTTTTGATATCATTAGGACTCCAGAAGCCTGTATAAACAGAACAATTTAAGAACAAGGATTCCTCTGAACTACAACCCTTTATGATCTTAATGATTTAATAGACTTGCGCCTTTAACAGTCTATGATCGCAAATAAATAGTACAAACTTGATAAAAAACATGCAAATAAAATCGGATACGAAATTAATTCAACACCTTAAAAATCTGTTAGTAAATCCTATTAAATTTTTACAGTGTAACAACTACTATGCCCCCTTTGGCTTGGTGCACTGCAAGTTTGCTTTGACACTTTGACATTGACAATGATGTATGTGCTTGCTTTGTTCGGCTGTATTAGTGTGAGTGTGAGTGCGAGTGTGTTGGGTTTGGGCTTGAGGTTGGTGTTGGGTGTGTGTTTCTGCTGGGCGTGACTGCGCTTTGTCATTAAATATCGATTTGTTGACTGTGCAGCGGTACTTAATAGCTGCAGCTTTAAGGCCAAGACTTCATTCAAACAAAACGATCGCCGGCATTGATAGACTGTTTAAAAAGAAATATATATAAAAATTCCAACAGCATATTGTTCGAGGCATTTATATTGCACTCGCTTTTGATGCCTTTCCAATTGCTTTTTTGTAGCACACTTTTCCGCAGTTTTATTAGTGCAAAATTTATGGTAGCTGTGAAAACGCGGAAATTGCCATCGAATTTCGTTCCATTTGTCATGCCGTTTTATCGCCTGGCCGATGAAATGTTCAAGAACTGTAACAACCATAAACAATTTCTAGCGCACACAGAAATTGGTTGATGGGTAAATAAATTTCTTGTTTGCCACCGATTGAATTGAGCAATTTTCCAACGGCCGTGATTTTGCCGATGCCAGGCTATGTATTAAATGGAAATGGCTTCGGTTGTTTGACTAATTTCCGATTTACACTCAACCGCTCTCGAGGGAAATGCAATCATAATGCCGCCTAAATTATTCAAAGCCCCACGATGGTTTGCCGAATTTGGGAAAGGGAACGGAACCGGGAACCTGGCGGAGAATGCAGGATGCAGCGTGGGCGCATGGCGGACATTTTAATTGTTTTATTTTAACATTTAAAAGTAATTTATATTTATGAAATTTTGTAAATTGGCAATGTCATAAAACGCACACACACTCTGCCACCGCCTACCCTCTCAGACACACTCGCGTTGTGCTCGGTGGTGCCCTTAGGTCGTTGTATTCGCAACATTTCCCATTTAGCGTGACATGCTTTCCCGCTCCATTTCCCAGCAGCACCACACACAGCTTTTCGCTCCACACTTTTCGCATTTCCCAGTTGCCCGCTGCCTTGTTATGTGGTAATTAAAATGACTCTTGGCCCGTCTCCGTCGCATTTTGGACAGCTTTTTACTGCCACTCAGCCGATGCGTCGTATGCGTAATGTCTGGCTAAATTATTAATTTACTATGGCCCCAACGAGTGTTGTTAATTAATTTGCATGCATACACAGTATTAAATCGCGATTCTGATAGGGCATGGTATGGCGGAGTACTTGAGTTTGCTGGGAACGAGTGTGTGGCAATAATATGTTATTGTGGTGGTGGAGTTGGCTCAATGAATCGCTTCAAAATGGTTTGCCAGTAAATCGCATTACCATCGACTGGCTGGCGATAGAGATGGTATTAAAGAGATCTATGGAAAGGGATTGCATACTTTTTATGAATATTTAAAAAAGTTTTTCATAACAAAACTTTTTTTGTTTTGATTTTCAGTTTTACAAAGCATAAATTCCAGCATTGGAATTCAAAGGAAACCCCCTCTTAGTTTAATATATTTCATATGTTGAATATGAATTCTCTGTTAGCTTAATTTGACTTAAAGAAAAACAAAACTCATTCATTTAGTAGTGTTTTTTAATTTTTAATCAAATTCCTATCGAATTCCCTCACGTTTTCATCTCTAACAAATAGATTTAAGCTCATTGTTCCCAACCCAATCCGTTCATCGCATCGTTGCAAGGTGCACATAGAGTTGGACGTCGCTGTGTTGCGGTTTAGCTGCTCTGTTGTTACCTTTGCCTCTGGCAAATTGTTTGCATTGTGCCAACCAGGCGTATGATTAATTTTAGCCGGAAAAGCCCACTCTGACGGCTATCCCATTCGCTTGCCTCCTCTGTGACAATAAAAATGTAGAAGGGGAAAATGGGAAAGCAAACAAAAACATATAATAAAAACAGTAAACATTTAATTGCCTGGCAAATATTTGCCCTTTTCTCTACCGCCAAAAGGGGATCGGAGAGCGGCGAACAGCGAACGACGAAGGGGTTTAGGGCCAAGTTTCGAGAGCTCGGCAAATAGGCGCTGATGATGAAAACTTTAATAGCAAAACTTCCCCATTTGGCTTATGCCCTTGCCTATTTTCCTCTGCCTTTCTCTCATCCATCTCTTATGGCATTTTTCCCCGCCGCTTTTCTCTTATGCATTATCGGCATACGCTGTTCATATAACTTTCCTCGACGGCGGCTGCCGTTGAAAGTTTGCCGCAGCTTGACAAAATTTCCATAGCCCTGCGCTGAGTTCCTGCATACGTATTCTGTGCTATATGCAAAAATCTTAAGCAAAGTATCGATTTTGCCTTTGGCTAAAAATTATTTACAAACGAATGAACTTTTGGAGGCGGCGACTCCGTTTGAGCTGTCTGTCTCTCTGTCTGCGGTTGAGTCCTGTTTGTCTGCCAGTTCGACAGTCAGTCCCTAGTCCATTGCCAAAACCCGGAAGGGCCAAAATAAAGGACTCCTCTTCGTCTGTGTCCCTTGTCTAAGGCTTTGATATTGGCAGATAAGAAAAGTTTAGGGCCATTTGGTGATTTGCAAAACGAAAAATGGGGTGATTTGATTAGTTGCGATTAACTGAAAAACATTAGCTTACAAAAGAAAATAAGACAAGTAACAAATAAGGATAAAGCAAATGTACTCTAGTCCTAAATACCCTTCGATACAGGGCTCGCCCTACCTTGGAAAAAAACACTTTGATCAAGATTATTATGCATAATTGACATGAGTATTTATTCATTTCTCAAACCTTTTCTTTTTTTAAAATTAATTCAAATTTTTTTTATTTTTAATATTAATTTATTATTAATGAAATTCAAATTGTTAATATTTCGCGGGTTCCTGTAGTCAGATGATTTCTATTACTTGCGATCGCAGCTGATCGATAGTTCGAATCGTGAAATCTTAAAAGTGTTGCCAGATCAGCTAGTTCCTCGTCAACATGGCTGCCTTTTCTTTTTCTTGACAAATTTATTATGAGAATGCTGTTTATCGGAACATTAAAACAAAATCTTTAAACTAAAACTATAAAAAATAAATATTTAACCAAACCTCTTATAACATATGGCCTGGCTAGTACAACCATCAATACTAATTTTTTTATATCTTTAGGTTGAATCTTCTTTGCACGGCCGATAGTAATATCGAGTGTTCCATTTCTTATCGATATTTACATGTGATAGTTTCTTAGTGTTACCTTATTGTAACTTAATATATCACATTTTCATTACTTACAAATATCACAAACAAAAACAATAGCGAAGAAGTAAAAAGCCCTCAGCAAAACGCAGCGGAACGTTTAGCTTTTTTAAAGCTTTCCTCCGCCTGTGAAAACAGCTTTTTCTGTACAGCCACAAAGCAGCTTAAATTTTCTTCGGACAAACTGGCAACACTGGCGCGGCTGGCGTCGCATTTTTGGATTCAATTGTTTAATTTACCAGTTTTGCGTTAATTTAGCACAGTTTTGACGGCAAAAAAATGAAAATATACAAGCAGAAGCTGCGCGACGTCTGGCTCCAGATGGACGAGTTCCGGCAGTGGCTGAGAAGGGATCCGGACGATTCGTACAGGGCGCAATGCCGCTTCTGCAAGTGCTGCGTAAACACGAAAATCAGCGATTTGCGGGCCCACGCCAACACCAAGAAGCACCTTAAGCAGGTGGAGATCAGGAACCCCACAATTGTAAGTTGATGCATCTGCCGGGTCGGGCCATTTTCATCTGCAACTATCCCCGACAGACCCGCCAGATTGATGCCGAGGGACAGCTTGTGACGACCGCGTCCACCAGCAGTCCTGCCGCCAGCTCCTACCGCACACCAAAGAGGACCACGACTCCCAAGATTAAGAAGGAGGTCAGTGCGAAGAAGGTGGTGGACGTGAAGAAGGAGAAGATAAAGTCGTGGGACCCTCCTGTGGACTACGAGCAGATCATTGAGAACTTGGCCCTGTACGAGCCCGAGCAGGTGATGTTCTCCAACTGTCCACCCAACGACACCACCGAGCAGGCGTTCGAGGAAGAGTGCGAAGTGGAACCCGAGGGCGCCGAAATGTCCATGGTGAGCATCGTCGACGAGGAAATGGTAAACAAGGCGGTGACCAACGCCATGGCCAGCATCCACAAGGACTCGTCACAGGTCTTTGGTGACTTTGTGGCCGACCGACTGCGTCACCTGAATCCTGACGCCTCCGAGTTTGCCAAAGACAAGATTCTGAAGGTTATTCTTGAGGCAGCCTCTATCGACCGGGCGCCCACTTACAGTTAAAGCGACAACTATGGTGGAATAATTAGCATATATTATGTTTTACATAGAATTATAAATGGCAAAGATGCAAGCAGCAATATATATAATCGACAAAGTAATGTTTGGAGATGTATTTGTATAGGGGAAATACTTTTATATAATTCAATTCCCATCTTAAAAAGTATCATTTAATTATTATTTCTTACAAATACCATTTCTACCCAAATGAATAATTTTAATATATCTATATTAATTTGTAGACATTGTGTTGTTGGGAAAACTTGGTGAATACGTTTGTGGAGATCTGATCCAAAAGTTGCTTTTTTGTCTAGGATTTTCAAACTTAAAAGAATATTCCCGCCAACTAATTTCCAAGCCAAATTTAAATCTGACTAAATCCAAGGATGCTAAAAGAGAATATTTAAAGCCAAATGGGAAAGACTTTGGGCCATACATTAGTTATTTAACGATTTCCCCTTTTTGCGCTTTAAGCATTAATCTCCCTTTGCAGCCTATTTTTTTTTTGCGTCTCGGATCAAAGTTTTACTAGAAAGTAATTTAAACTTTTGCTTTTACTGGCAGACTGCCGGCTGGCTGGTTACATTTTTCCATTTTTCTTAGTGAGAGGCGTTGGGTGTTTTCGTTCCACTCAATAAACGCCAGACGCAAATTTTATTTAACTCTTTTTTGCCTATGGAAGCTGTAAAATGGGAATAAAATACGCATAAGGATTCGATTGTCTTTTGCATAAGCTGCTTAGGTGCTTACTTTGATTTTGTTGGCCCCTCCCGAATTTCCTGCGATTCGCAAAAGTTTATGTGCCGAGCGCTAAACTCGAGTTTTATGCTATGAAAGTAAGTAAGTAAGTAATAGCAATAGCAGAAGGCCAATGAAAATCAGCTTACATTTTTTATGTCAGACTATTTTGAATTTGATTGTCAGACAAACATGTTGTGCTTGCCCCTTCTTGTTCAATAATTAAACGACTTTACCTGGCCGGCGGTAGGTAGACGCCAGTCGACAGTAGTCAAAGGTAAAAGCCATGGACATAAATCAAGCCTGCCATAACTTCCTGCAAATATCGAAAGTCCATTAACAGTAAAACATGTTAGCTTCTAGCTTGGATGGTTTGCCAGGTAGGATGCACAGGTAAAAAATATTGGGCATTGTACTTGCTATAAATTCAGTATGCAGTTTTGTTAACCCAATAAAAATTAATATAGAAAAGCCTTTCGATTTAAAATTTATGCATTTTTAGCTTAGTAAGGTGTTTTTTAAACTTTTATTTGACAACAAAATTCTCATATAAATCGAAACAATCGTTAGATCTTAGCTCTCAAGCATTGATTTCATAAACTCTATCAAATTGAGTTAAATTTTCTTTGTGTGCACCCTTTTTCCCCACCCATTTTCCTTTGTCTAGTTTGCTTTTTTAACACCTGATAGTGGAGTAGGGACTGATGGTGGGTGCGTTCAGGTACACGTCCTGTCTGCATCTGATAAATGCCTTCGAAAAACAGTTTTAATTAAAATACACACCCATTCGGTGCTTAGATGCTATTGATGGGCTTGTTGATTTTTCAGCGCAATCGAGGCGTAAGCATAATAAATACAATTTCCACGTACCCATACCCTCCTTATGGCGAATTTCCCTGTTTCTGAATTTTCCACCCCAGTCTGTTAGTTTTCCCGTTGACAGTGACGCTGCTGTTTGTTTGCTTTGACATGTTGCTCAAATTGCAAACGGACGGGGAAGAGTGTGAGTTTCGAGTATTTGTCCGCCTTTATTTGTGTTTATGTTTGCCAAAGGATATTATTAATGCGCTGCGTTCCGGCAGCAGTTTAAGCAATCGATGAAATTACTAAGCTCTAATGCTGCCATGTCCGGGCGACAATTAAAATAAATACGAGAAGCTTTCAATTGAGTTATGGGAGCTCGTTATATTAAATTCAAATGTTTAAGCTGAGTTGCAGGGAACTTAATAGAGTTAAAATTCATCAAGCAGAATGCTTTTGTAGATATAGATATGCTTTTGCCACTATTATCTTGGTGTATCCCTAAATGAATCCTTTTACAATTTGCAAATACTTTTGAACTTGGCACCATTACTATGTGTGCATGTAGATTTTCAACTAGACCTAGAAACGACAGCAAATGCTGACCCCTCGGTAGACTCCCCCTGCCCTTTGATGACAAACTAAAAATCCATTTTCATTAGCTCCTAACGTGTCCTTGCTGAAAAGGTTTCCAAGGGAGCTTCCATTCGGATTGATGTGTTCGGTAGCACAGTTGTCGTCGGTCTTGACATGCCTGCCTGCCTATTTTTATGTCATTTCAGCATTTCAGTTCGTGGACGGTCCAAAAATGGGGACGGCCGGGGTTCGCAGATTAACAGATTATGATCTGACATGAGTGGAAATGTTGTTAGAAAACTTCATTAGCAACATGTGTGTGAGAGTCCATGTCCTGGATGAGAGAGGAGAGCGATGTGCGTCGATTCTTCTTGCGCTTCGGTGCGCAATTAAAGCAATAAAAGTGTGGACGACTGCACACTGAATGGCCCATGGACATGGCCGGCTTCAGTTCATCCAATCCGGGACCCAGCCAACCCGCTCTGCTCTCCTCGAAATCCCTACAAGCTCAGGAACTCAAAAAAAAGGGGGGAAAAGTAGAAAAAAAAGTTGTCGAGTGGATACAGGGCAAAATAATTGAGAAACGTATTTTGTTTTGTTGAATTTTAAGCTTTAAGATGGTCGAAGGGATGCTCTGTAAGGGGAAATTTTTGAAAATTAATAATTATAGAGTGAAATCTTAGGCTTCACGAATTTATAGAACTCATTCAACGATACTAATTTATTTTATAAAGAAAAAATTCCTTGAACCACAAAGCCTCTTAATATATTATTACTAAGGACTTTTCCGGGAAGAGTATTTCCAAATTGTTTTTTTCCCCCGCATTTCCACTGATTCCATTTTCGAGTTTCCCTTTTTAATTCCCAATCGAATTTGTTGGGTTTATATCCGTTGTTGTTATTGTTGCCACTCCTATTGGCCACTGTGATTGGGCCACACCACTGGCCGGATCGCTAATCCCCACTTTTGGACGGCCGTAAAGCCTATTTTGAAACTTTATTTAATGCAATTCGCGCTTGAAAATATATGTGTTTATTTAATGGATAGCGTATTTAGTAGATTTTCGGTTCGAGTCAACTGGACCAGCATAATGGGAATTAGAAATTAATTTCTGACCGTGTGGAAAGAACGCAAACAGATACGCAGGAGAGGAAAAGCGAGAATCAGAGCAACGCTTATCCGCAACCCATTTCCCGATGCAACATTTTCCGAAGCCGCACTGCACTTTATTAAAAGGATGGCATTATAGTGATAAAGGACGCGGACGGGGGCAAGGAGAGACGGACAGCTGGACAGCCGGACAGGGTCCAAGTGCGGTCACACTGTAAATTAAATATAAAATGTCCTGCGGACTGTCGCTCTTTATGCCATGCGGCTGGCCAACAACGATGTCGACATCGGTCAGCATTGCAACTGTGGACCATGGGTAAAAGTTTCCTTTCCTCTCTGCATTTTCAAAATGCTTTTCCCGATGCTGCCCCCTAAAATGCAAAACAAAAGGCAAAAGTTGACACACCCAGAAAAAATAAACGAAAGAAAAGTTTACAATAAAAATAACACAAAAAACAAGAAACAAACTTTAAGCATGCGGATGGAATCGCCTGGCGAAGGGACGCGGCAACGGACAAGGATATTCGGACGCATATATACAAGTCAACTCAACAATTTCAAGTGCACTCTTATTTTATTCAGCCTTTTGCCTTTCATTTTGCCGCACATGAAACATGGAAGAACAACAACGGTCCTGGCCATGGCAAAAAGCGTCATTCAAGCCATGTCCAGGCGACCAAATTCAATTATTTTATTAGATTAAAATATTAAGATGTAAATATGGTTCAATATCTCTGAAGGGGTTTCTCTGGTTATTTAATTTAATACTCAAGTAGATTTAAATTAAACGAAATTAGCTAGAAATTCTTGTCGGTATGGTATTTAGTTAAATACCTTAGTTAAACCGGTTAATAATTAACTAATGCGCCTTGTTTTCAATTAAATTTTAATTCAATAACTTTTATAATACATTTTAATCAACATAAACATTCAAAAGGCACTTCTTATTTTTTTATCTTCATAATAATTTAATAGATTTTATTTTAAAGCATTTTAAAATATATATTTTAGTCTTTAATGTACAATTTTTGTGTGGTGTACAACCAGGAATTCACTTGATGTTTTTTTGATGAAAATAATTGCAACATACTTTGCCGACGACTTTCCACTAACAGAGGCCATGGTCACGTTGGCCCAAACTAGACAACACTGCGTATACGTATTGCGGGCTCTTGAGACGCCTTCCGCTTGGCATGGCATTTGCGCTTGAGTCCGAAATATAATTTGCTTTATTATATGCACTCAGTCGTCACAAATTGGCCGGCACAATAATAAAACGTGCAGCGAGAGCAACAGAGATCGAGATGCTGATGGCCAAAACCGGAAGTGCAGGGAAAGAGGAAGCAACAGCAAAAGCATCAGCAGGGGGAAACGGATGCGGAAGTGGAAGGGAAAGGACAGGAGAGCGTTGTGTCTGGGGGAAAGTGAGCAACTTGGATTTGATTGCAAGTTCCATGGCGTAGAAAGTAAAATGGCAAGTCACATATTAATATGCAGACCAAGTCCAGTCTCAACTTGGCCGTAAATCACCTGAGAAGCCGCAGGAACTCCGACTAACCATGAACTCAGATGCTTGAGAATACTGGTGCTGGTACCACAGATACGCAACAGCTGTTAATTTGCTAGGAACTTCTCGTTTTGGCCGGGAGACCGCCACAAAAGTTCAAGTCAAAATGAAGATTTATTTGTCTGGCAGGCGGATGTAGTGGAGTCTCCATGATCACGTGTCTCATTGCAATTTCCGCAGCCGGATATTTGCCCAGCTTGCGATGGGGAATTAGGGGAGCAGGAGACGGTCTCCGAGTCGGTCTGTAAATCGAAATCGGAGCCAACTTTGCTACTAATTTGTTGCACAAACTTCCACTTCATTCCTAT